AGAGGGAGCTTCACTCTGTATCTAACCCTGTGCTGTCCCTGTCCTGGGTGTGTTTGATGCTGGCACAGTGCAGAGAGAGCTTTACTCTGTATCTAACCCTGTGCTGTCCCTGTCCCTGTCAGTGTTTGATGTGGGGGGGACAGTGTAGAGGGAGCTTTATTCTGTATCTAACCCCGTGCTGTCCCTGTCCTGGGAGTGTTTGATGGGGGGACAGTGTAGAGGGAGCTTTACTCTGTATCTAACCCTGTGCTGTCCCTGTCCTGGGAGTGTTTGATGGGGGGACAGTGTAGAGGGAGCTTTACTCTGTATCTAACCCCGTGCTGTCCCTGTCCTGGGGCGGTGCTGCTTTAAGGCCGTGTTTGAGATGGGTTTGGAGCTCAGAGTGAGCTGCTCTCACATCAGATACTCACACTGAACAGTGATGTTCACTTTCCTTTCTGCTTTGCCGATCAAATTCCAGGCTTGGCAGATATAAACGCCGCTGTCTCGGGAGGTGACGTTGTCAATGTTCAGGTATAGGGTGTCATTCACTGCAGACAGAATACTCTCGTTCCCTCTGTACCACCTTATCGTGCTGACTGGGTTACTGTTCACAATACACTCAACTTGAACAGACTCCATCTCCTGCACCGTCACCTGCCGCATTTCTGGAATATCTGGGCCATCTGAAATTTTAAAAGTTTAACCTTACTTCAATCGTAGGCAAGGAAACAGGACATTCGCCCATCTGCTAGTGCGGATACTCTGCAGCAGCCTCCTCCCATCCCTTCCTCAACTGTACCCCACCCCTCCCATTGCCATCTCCCTCATGTGATTATCCATCTCCCCCCTTCTTCAATACATCAACACAATTCCCCCCCCACCCTCACTCCTCGCGAGACAGGGCCCTACATTCCACCCCATCCTACACACTGAAGGTGTTAATCCCACAATCGCCCCTCCAAGCCCTGAGGGAACTAATCCAACGTTGCCACCTCCCCACTCCCCGGGGGAGTGTGCCCCATATTCTGCCCCCACCTCCACACACCCTGTGGGAGCGAGGCCCACATTCCCTACTACTCTCTGGGGCTGGATGAGGTTACAGAGACAGGGAGGGGGCGTAGAGGCTAGAGAAGCTGACAGAGATAGGGAGGGGGTGTTGGGGCTGGAGGAGGTGACAGAGATAGGGAGGTGGTGTTGGGGCTGGAAGAGGTTACAGAGATAGGGAGGGGGTGTAGGGGCTGGAGGGGGTTACAGA